TAACAGTACTCAAAAGGTTAACACATGAATACCTCAACTGCATTTTAAGTCTTCTTAACAGTTACTGAGAAGGAGTTATTTCTGATTTTCTAAAATGACTGTTGAACATTTGAGAAAGCAAAGAAATAAGACAGGATAATTTCTTCTAACAACCACTCTTAGGAATGGAGAGAATTATAATCATAGAAGTCAAAATATCACATAGGTTACTGGCCTGTGTAACAATGTAAACAACTGATGTCCAGTCATGAAAAAACAAAGGGAAAAATGTTAATTGAAAAAAGCTTCATTATAGTTTTGAACATACTGAATTTGAGGTATATGAAGCATATTCAACACCAGTAAAGAATCAGACTATCAAGTATTTTCACAAATAACCCTGATAGCAATCCTATGAGTGAGATATGTTCATAACTACTTAAAATACTGAAAAGTAAATTCAAAGGGGCTTGATTTGGTCCAATACAAAGTTCTCCCATTCACCAATAGTAATTTAGCAAACTGTCTACTATCATAACTATGACTTTACATTTCATAAGCTAAATGTGCAATATTTTCGCAAAAGCCAAGATCTCTGCACTTTACGACAGTAGTTCTCAACCCGTAGGTCACGACCTTGTTGCTAAACCTCTCTCCAAATAATAATACATTATGATTCATTAACATGTTCATAACATATTACATTATGATCAAAACAGTAGTAAAATTATAGTGATGAAGTTGTAATATGAGCAATTTTATTCCTGGGGCCACTACAACATGAGGAACTAACTGTGTTAAAGGGTCATATTAGGAAGGTTGAGAACCACTGGTTTAGGACAAAAATTAATCTAACTGTGACTCCATGATGCTGACTGGATTAAGCGAAATGCTAAAAAAAAAAAGTAAGCACAGCTGATTAACAATATGCAGAATATGGACTGGTCAAAGAGTTTGACTAAAAATGATTTTTTAAAAAAATAATTAACTTATTTATTTTTATTTAGACAAGGTCTTGTTATATACCTTCGGCTGGCCTGGAACTCACTAGGTAGATCAGGCTGTCCTCTAACGAAAAGAGATCCACCTGCCTCTGCCTCCTGAGAGCTGGAATTAAAGGAGTGGGCCACCGACTACTAAATTATCATAAAAATCAAAAGCAGCATTTAGCAGAGACAAAGGAATGATTCAAAGACATTTCTTACAGCACTAGGTTTACTGCTGCACACCTGTCACCTCAGGACTTAGGAGTCAGAGGTAGGAGCATCTCAAGTTCTAGGCAAACCTGGGATACAGTGAGACCCCCATCTCAAGATAACAAGACCAGGAACTGCAAGGTATAGGTAAGAAGAACTGTGCTTCCCTGATACTTGCAAGGCCTTGGTTAGATCTCCAGCACTGAAGGGAGGGAAGAGGCCAGCACTTTTGTATTTTAATAGTCAAGATAAATGGAGCATTATAAACCAATCAAGGAAAGAAAAGAACAACACGGAAAGGTAAGCTCAGTTCTCTAATAGACTGATTTTTAAGTGGTAATGGAATACCAAACTAACAATCTAGAAAATTATCAGTAATTCATTACTAGATAAATTGTGTGTTTGGTATGTTCCAGGAATTGCCCCAAAGGTACTAGGAACAAGAATGGAAAGTTCTCATCTTTAAGAAGTTTATACCACACAAGACTATCAATTGATGAACTTATCAAGAAAATGAACAAACAGCAGGGAGTAGAAAATGACAGATTCTTTAAGAGAAGACAATGAGGAAAGCCCCTCTCGGAACATGAATTTTGAACAGAGCCCCAAAATGATGTGATGGACATCACAACTTTAAATAACATAAGCAAAGAAAATGACCTATGAAGCTACAGAGGAAGGAATGCTTAGAATGCTCAGATCCAAGAAGCCTTACATGACAGTCAGTCCAAGGATCACAATCATTTCTCCCTCTATGTAGATAAATAGAAAATTAACAGAGATTTTTGAACAGGTGGGTGACCTTATCCAGTACTTTTCAAAGACTAATGACTTTTATAAATGAGACCTTATTGGAGGAACAAAAGAGTAAAGAGAAATCCTACCCCAGAGCCCCAGCCACAGTCTCTGCCTAAAGCGGCTGAGATGGTTGAGTATGGCAATACTGGGGTAGCAAGATTCTGAACAGACGTTAAGTAGAACCAAAAGACCTTACTGACAGAATGGAGTGGGAAAGAATCAAGGATGACTCTGAGACATCAGAACTGACTAACAGGAAATATCAATGACTCAATCCACTGAGATGGGCTAGGATGCCAGAATGAGACGCTAGAGGGAAACAGGTTTCTGACATGCTTGTTTTTAGACTCCTATCAAAATCCACTGAAAATATCGAGTAGATGGATACCCAAATCTCCAATACATAGCAAGACTATTTAAACTTGTGAGTCACTGGACTACATGAAGTGTTTAAAGCTAAGAGAGTAGCTTTTTTTGTTTGTTTTAAAAATCTCACTTCACAAATTACAAAAAAAAAAAGAGAGAGACTTTTCTATGTGCTTTTAAAACACTGACTTAGTTCTACCAACCCTATAAGCTAAGAAACATTGTAATTCTTATACTCCTTATTTAAAGGCAAGGAAACAAAGGTACAGAATATCTAACCAACTACCTCAAAGCCACACACTGCTGCTAAAGAGCTAACCTGAAACTTGAATTGAAGCAAATCACTCCAAATTCTACTAAGCCTCCTAAGGCTCTAAGAGAACAAAGTGTCAATGGAGCAGAGGTTTTATACTGAGTCCAGGTTGCTTAACATTAGATATGGGGGGGGGGATACACACACACACACACACACAAAGACTAAAAAGCTAAGCAGAAAACTAGAAAAAAGTCTGGTGACCTAGAAACCTATGGATAAAGCACAGAAGAAAAATTTAAGACTTTAATTAAAAAAAAAAAGATGAAAAACTTGACTTTTGGAATTGGTAAATACAAATCAGTAGGGAACTTGATGGTATAAATTATCTTTATAATTCAAACTGAATTTTTTAAACATCCATGTCTAGCAGATTTAACACAGTTTCAACTCAACAAGCATTTATTCAAAGCTGATTATGTAGCAGCCATCAAACAAGGAGCAAAATAAAGAACACAATGGCCTAATGCTTAATTTAGGAAAGACAAAAAGGTTGAAAATTGTAGGAGTTTGGGGAAGGTGAACAACACAGTAGTTCTGAAACACAAAGTAAACACCCCAAGAGACATTAAGAAGCCAACACTCTTCACTGTATAGAACATAAGCCCACTTAAGAATTTTATGTTTCAAAATGTCAATAATTTTGCTATGAGAAACTCCATGTTGCAGGATTCAGATAACTTAGGTAGAACAAGTCATATCCTAAGCTGGCTTTAAAGCACAAGACATATATGCAGAAGGACAGATTAAATAATAAGAAACAAAAGCATAAAGGCAAGAAAGGGCTTGTCTTTGAAACGGGTGGCATGGGAAGCAAGAAGAGGTTTAGCATTAAGAAATCTATCCGAATCCAGTGCAAATGTAGTTTCGAAAAAATGAGAAGAAACACATATTAGGCCCTGGGTTCCATTCCTAACACCACGAAAACAAACAAGCCAGGAGAATATAAATGTGACTGATTAGCAGGAAGCAAGATGCCATTACAACTAGGTCCATTAGGCCAGGCATGGTGGCGCAGACCTCCCAGTCCCTGGAAGAAACCTGTCTCGAAACTCAAAAAAAAAAAAAAAAAAAATACTAGATATGTAAGTGCTGGAAACAGAAGCACCAAGTATGTTTCATTATAAGCATTTGTCCCGGACACTGATGTAGTATGTTGTAAGCAGGCCAACGAGCAGCCATGCGATGGTCTTCATAGTTCAGTGTCTTAAGTCAGTGAACACTGTGTTCTGTAAGAAAGGGTGCTAAGCACTTAGCAAACACAATTTTCCAATTCATTACTTATTTAGCATTATTGATGATTTCTAACGTTCCATCCACTGCTCAGATTCGGGACATTCATTTAAATCACTATGGACCAAGCAGGAAGTGGCGGTAATATGATTTCCAGTGAGATGCTATAAAGTGCAAATTTTAAAATTCATCTCTCAAAAAACAAAATTCATAAAGCAACTCTCACAAGTTATCCTTACATCCTTTTACTATAGTGATGGCTAAACTAGTCTTGTGGGACTGGTCATGGTGTTGGGTTTGCCTTCTACACTGTTGCCAGCGTAGCTCTACGTGAATTCAAGTCACCCCAAAATTTTCTTTCAAGAAATTCAAATTACATTATGACCTTCAGGCCAGAAAGAGGCACTCTGCTAAACTGATATGATAGATACCTAATACCAATAATTCAGAAAACAACAAAAATTCAACATTTCAGACCCTTCCTAGATGCAAAATCCTCTTCCACATTTCCCCACGGCAGAGGCCCAGTCTGAGGAAGGCATCCCAAAGGCGTTTCAGTTGTTGCCAAGTGGTCCATCTTCGTCTCTCTCAATATTTCAATCTACCCATATCCAGGCCTCTCTCCTCCAGGGACCGTTATAAGAGCGATTAAAAGAATAATAAAAATAAATAAAAAAAAAAACCCTAAGTAACCTGACCTGAAGCATTTTGCCAGTTCCCGGAGCTTTCCATTGGGCCAGGCAAATACTTTGGCGATAGGGCTTCTAAGCAATCTGCTCAAGCCAAGATACGCCCCAGCCCTTCGCTCTTCTCCAGAAGCCGAGCCCCAGCGGCAGATGGCTTCATCGGCTGCTCCTCCCGACGCAACCCTCTACCCCAAATCCCTTAAACAATTCCTTCGAAGCCCCCCGAGTCCCGTGCCGAGGGCCCACTAGGGAGGTTCTCTGCCCCATTTCTTTCCAAGAGGATGAGCCAAGTCCTCAACCCTCTCCCGGCTCCGGAGAGAAGAACGTGGGCTCCTCGGCCTTGCAGCCCGGGAGGGAGGAACGCGGGGGGTGGGCGGCGTGGGCTCGCAGCCAGGCGGGGAACGGACGGACGACGGGGAAAACACTTACCAACATCCTGGTCGAAGGGATTTGTGGCAAAGAGAGGCATGTCCGCTGCGTGCCGAGGTGTTCCCAGGGACTGCCCCTCGACACCGCGGCCGTCAGCGCACGACGGAGAAAGGAGGCCGCTCAGGTACAAACACAGCCACCGGGACGGGCGGTCCAGGGTCCTCGGCCCCTCCTCTCTCCCACCCCAGCAACAGAGGCGGCGGCGGCAACGGCGGAGAAGCGGCGCAGGCCCCCGCGCGGGGCGTGTCGGGAATCCAGGCGACCTGAGCGCTGCCTGCGCCAGCTGGGACAAGAACCCTGCCTTTCCGCCGAGACCCACGCAAGGAGCCTCCTCTACTGCTTCCTCTGCTGACCTCCCACAGGTCCCAGGGATTAGCGGCTATGTTGTGGGCTTTTCCATTGCTCGGGCGTCTCGGGAGGACGTGGTCCTTCAGGCGCGCCGAGGCCGACTAAGCACCTCTGGAGAGTATCAGAGACGAAAAAGAGGGTTCGCTTTGGGTCTAGCGCAGCCTTTAGTTTAACTCCGTGAGTTCATTTTGGTGGGTTGTTGTAACGTAGTAATCCCTCTAGAAGGTCAGACGGTCCTTCGGGCTATCCGAGTAAAATGTTCGGTGTGAGGGGACTAGGAAGTTGCTGGGATCGAGTCACGTGAGCTGGTGGAACTGGCTGGAATCCCGTGGAGGGGAGTGTCAAGGCGCGCAGCCTCCGGAGAGGCTGAGGCAACTCACGCTGGCTCCTTCCCCAGCCTGACATCAGAGGGAAGCTTCTGGGTGTCGGCACCGACTGACTAAACGTGCTGTCACTGGCCGCTGCAGTGACTAGGAGATTAGTCCTTCGCAGCCCGAGATAACCACACACACCCAACAGCAGGAAAAAACAAAACGAAAAATGGAACCGAACATTGCTTCTTGGCAACTTAAAATATTGATTTGGTGCTCTAGTTCGTACATGTGTATCACACACACACTACCCTCTAAACCATGTGGAAATATTAAGGATCATCTCTTGGAAATATTAATAAAATTAGAGAGCTCGTCTTGCACATACAGAGAAATCATGTAAAGTATGTCCAAATAAGAACATATAAATGTAGCTAATAAACAGTTACATGTCAACAACAGGATTGGCATGACAGCACAAGAAAAATGCTTACTTACAAAACTCAATTTAAAATGAGGTCCAATATTGAAAAGAGACGAGCAAATTAAAGTAGTGGTTAGTGTTTTCAGTCATTTAAAGAGAAAAGAATCCCCCAAGCAGTGGTAGTGCACTCCACTAAAGAGACAGAGGCAGAAGATATCTGAGTTTGAGCCTGATGTATCAAGCATGTTCCAGGACAGTCCCAGCTACACAGAGAAACCCCGTCCCAAACAAACAAACCAAAGATAAAAGAATCCAAGGAGTGGGGACTGTAAAGTTGCTGGGTGAGGTACAAATTAACAGTATTCCTAAGAGAAACAACGGGAGGTATATAAGGAGCTTTGGAAAATATGCTTTGGTCCCAACAATTCTGATGTTTAGAACTTAAAGACGTTCTTTAAAAAACATGAACCAAGATATTAGTGACAGCATTGTTTATAATATCAAAGCACTGATGATCACTAAAACGTCTGACATTGAAGAGATTGAACAAACTCATCTCTTAGGTCTGTTTCTTTATAAGAAACAAAAACTATCGAGGATTGAAAAAATTAGTGAAAGTAAATCCGCTCTAATATCGCCTGGCATATAGTAAGCACTCTAGTGCAATCAATAGTTAGGATTGTGTTGCTCAAATAAATCAGAGTGTCTGTGATACAAAACTATTTAGCCATTGAAAGTAACACTAAAGATCTGTACTTACATAGATAGACATCCGAGTACATAAAATTGTAAAGAATGGCTCAGGGTGTGGCTCATTGAAGCAGCTTGTCTAGAATGCAGGAGATCCTGAGTTCAGTCCTTAGCGCTGAAAAAAAAGTCTACAAATACATGTGAAAGAAATTCTGGCAATTTTTAGCAGCCTGAACGAAAATATGAATGACATGGTTATTTCTGGACAATACCACCCTGGATTTTTGTTGTTGTTGATGAATTTTATTTTTTTCTTTCAAATGGGATGGGCAGGTGTTAAAATACAGTATAACAAATTTCATTTGTTAAAGCCACTATTCTTTTAACGTTTTGAAAGGCCAATAATCAGATGCTTGTATGTCATTATGACAAGTGAAAAGTCTTTCTACTATTGTATGGAAAGCAGAGCATTGGCTGTTAGTAGACCTGCTCTTGGTCACTGGACTGACAGAATTAGGTGTCAGCTTATCCACTTACAATGACGGGACTACGCCTTAGGTACCTTATCAGAACTGCTCTGTTTCAGAGCCAGATAGTTATGAAAATATATTTGGGCATGCCTTATGCTCCAGAAATGAAACTGAATTGTTGTGTTGCTAACGAAAGCTACTACTCAAGCTTTAATCATCAATATGTGAGTATTGGGAATAACATATGTTAGTATTGATAACATTAACCATGTGTTCTGACCTAAAAGAGTGACGTTAACTATTAGGGATCTTTATGATGTAATATGTTATAAAGTAGAGGTTTTGAAAATAAGAATGTTATACGTACAAGAAAAACCTGTTATAAAAGGTGGCATGAGTTTGTGTTTTGAAGTTAACTTGTCATATTATCTAAAATATTGAAATTGCTAGTTCTATTTTTAATACCCAAAAAAGACATTTTAAAGACTTGATTGCATGTTTCTGTGATGTGTTTAATAAATTCCATGGTTAATTTTGAAATGTTTTATTCCTTTATTCTGTTGGACTTTTAAAACTGTTCTATAATTAAAAATAAAGATACTTGTGTGTAAAATGAAGCTGCTCTCGGAAAAAATTCTGTTGTTATATTATCCTGGTTAATACACTTAACCCACCGATCTGTAAACCACCCTATCTACTACAGCCAGGATGGTTTTACTAATATATGAATGTGATATCATTCCCTTAGAATGCTTATATGATTCCTCAGTCAGGCAGTCATTCGATAAGTATTAACTTCTTATAGATTTGAGGTCTCTATATGCTAGAAATATAGGCTACACATCAAGAAGAGAGTCCTTAAGTAATTAAGTTATTGCCTGATTATGGGTGTGTAAAGAGTCCTCTCCCTTCAAAATTAGTTCACATTTTTAAAGTAGAGCAAATATAGATGTATTTAGAAACGAGGAGAAAGAGTGTTTAAGAGTGGGAGGAGCTCCAAGGGAGGAATAGCTAATCTTGATTAAGCCTTTAATGAACTGGTCCTGATCACCCTGTGTCTTCATGGACGTTAGTGTTTTCCAGACTACCACAGCTGTCCAGATGTCCCATACCTTCCATGACCCGAAGCAAACAACTTTCACCCTCTTGTTCTCTTTAGAAATCTCTGGACACTCTCTGGATCTTCACTTAGATCTCCCTGACAAAAGCCTCTCCTAACTCAACACCTGACCAGTTAATACTACATAATAAATTTTTGTTGATTAATTGGTTGAGTGGTCATTTCTATCACAACACTCAGTGGTGTAAAATTTGTTCCAGGTATTGATTGTTTCACAACACCGTCTAAATGTGGCCTCTTAGAATAAAAACAATGATTTCTTTTGCTTTGGTCAGACTTCAGCAGGGACAGTTTGCCTCTCCTCCATACAGCACTCACAGGAGGCGTGCGAACGCCTGGGATGACTGCAGCACATTTGCAGGATCTAGAGGACTTGCTCAGTGTGTATCTGGCAATAGACGCTGGAAGTTTGGTGAGTCATTTGGGGCTGTCAGCCACACCAGCTGCACAGAACTTGCAATGTGTCTGCTTGGCTTCTCTCAGCATATTGGATGGACATAAGTCAGAATATTCCAGGAGCCAGGAGGAGGAAGCTACCAATTCCTTAAGATGTGGACCAGGAAATGGGGATAGCATCACTTCAATTATGCCCCCACTGAAGTCACAGTGTCTATATTCAAGAACTGAGAACAAAACTCGCCTTTTGGTAAAATGGCTATTAGGGAATTGTAATAGGGAGCATGTTTAAACACTACCACAATATTGTAACCTCTATGTAAGCATTATATTTTGAATTATTTATCTATATGTATGGGCTCGTTATAGTTTAGTTGTTCCACAGATATTTATTAAATAGAATAAATGCAATCTGCTATGATTAAAATGTCATGTTACTATTACTGGCCATAAGGAGGTAATGAAATCTGGACTTACTTTATTGTAAGAAAAAGAAAGCTGGGGGAAATACATGTGTTATGGATTAGATATGAAATGTGTCTTGAAGGCTCATGTATTCACACTGGTGATGCTATTGAAGATGATCAGATCATGAGGATGCTAACCTCATCAATGGATAATGTTCATAGCTGAATGGAAAATGCAATCTAATTGGAGGAAATATATCTTCAAAATCCCTTCTTTATCTCTCTATCTCTGTTTCATGACACAGTGGAATGGCAGCTGTGTGTTCTGCTACTCACAGCCAGAAACAGAAGAGCCCGTTAGCCAGGGGCTGAGACCTCTGAGAGTGTGAACCAAAACAAATATTTCTTCTTTTTTGTATGCTTATGCCAGGCATTTTGTCACTGTGATGAAAAAGTAACCCAGTAAGTTATGATTGATTTCAAGCATGCATCAATAGCAGCATAAAACAAATTCCAAGGAGTCAGGAAATGTGCAATGAGCCACATAACAGCCAATAGCTTCCAGCCCATAACTGGTTTCTGAACTGTGGGCTAGACTCCAAAAGTAATTCAAAATGGTCTAATGTACTGAAGAGAGAAAAAAAATCAGAATTGGGGGAGGCCAAGAGACTAGCAACCATGTTGGACGTTTCAGCCCGTGCTCATTCATTCATTCTTTTTTGAGGTAGCATATCTTGGCAAAAACAGGTGGCAAAACAGAATCATACATTTCATAGTAAGAAAATAAAAGCCAGGGAGTATCTGGAGTTTCACTATCTCCTCTCAGTAGACTGCACTTCTAACATTTCCACCACCTCTGATAATTTCAAGCTGAGGACCAAGCCTTTAACACACTGACACTTGGGGAGGAGATGGCCCAAACTGTAGAGCCCAAAGGATGCAATATTTTTAAATGGACACCTCTGTAGTGGCCAGGTTTCAATAAAGAAAACAATTACTGAACATGTGAAGAAAAATATGGCTCGTAACCCATGTCACAAAAGAATAAGGAGAGAACAATCTGCAGAAAGAGAATCCCCGAAATG